ACCATAGTAAGAGTTAAATTTCAACATCTTTATAGGAATAAAGAAAAATAGCATGAATTTTGGAAGTGTTAATAAGCAAGGAGGATGATTTTGGAATATTTGTTTGATAAATGGGACAAAAATCCCATATATTTTTGTTCTGTTTTATTTTTCTTGAATGAAAACCTAACAAATACTTTTTTTTTTTTAAATTATAGTATTTGAAGTTAATCAGAGAAATAAAGGAGGGGCTTTTCTTGTTGCTTGCAAATTGTAAATTGCAGTTATTTGCAATCATGCTTATAACTGGCGTGGGTTCATGTGCATAATCAGCTGCTTTTTGAATACATGTTCTATTGTTCTGTTTTATTTATGGATTCAGTTGTGATGAGAAAGATGTTATGAAGCTGTTTGGATGAATTCTTGGAATTGTCTTTTAAGAGTTTTGAAAATCAGCGTGTACCTGGAGTTTGGGGTAGAAACCAGGACTCTGGATAGCACTGAAAATTTAGATTAAAAAGTTGAAGGGTTTTCAGCCTCAAAATGGAGAGTCAAATTCTGGTTTTGGACTTTGAGGTGCATGAACCAGCAAAATTCTGTAGTGACACAGACACACCATTCCTGTCCAGTTGAAATACAGCAAGATCCAAAGGCCCTGAGGTCAGGAGTCATCCCACGAGTTCCAGCATCTGGATCTGTTATCAGTCTGATCTCACCCACTTCTGGTGGGACAGGAGGCTGAATTTCTACCTCCAGCCTCCTTGTATGAATGATGTGGCTTTTGAAGACTTTTGGTGATAATTTTTAGTGTCACCCTTCTGACCGGCGTGAGTTTGCCAATATAATTATTTTTCTTAATATCTACATTTTCCATCACAGAATGCCCTCAGTTGGAAGGGATCCACAAGGATCACAGTCCAACTCCTGGTTCTGCACAGGACATCCCCAAGAGTCTCACCCTGTGCCTGAGAGCATTGTCCAAACATTTCTTAAACCCTGTCAGGTTTGGTGCTCTGACCACTGCCCTGGGGAGTCTGTTCAGTGCCCAACCACCCCGTGGGTGAAGAACCTTCTTTAATATCCAACCTAAACCTCCCCTGACACAACTTCAGGCCATTCCCTCAGGTCCTGTCACTGTCACCACAGAGCAGAGATCAGTGCCTGCCCCTCCTCTGTGGTTGTAAATATACAGTGATGCAGGACTGCAGTTTTTTTTGGACCACTGACAATGCTGAATACATATCATTGCAATTTCTATTCTATTCTCAGTGACAGATTTTTATCTTTTCCCTACGTACCTTTTAATAAAAGCAGTATTTTGTCTGAAAGCAAGAGACAGGAGATGAACTTTAACATCACTCAGTTCTTGCTGGATCTCTGTGGAAGGCACAATGAGAATTTTTGTGTGCATAGTAACATGCACAGAGTGTGCTGCCTTCTCAGCCTTGTGGGAAAGTGCCTTTTGCTCAGACTTCCCACATAAACAAACTTCTTTACTTGGGTCTTCCTCCCTCCTCCTGTCCAGTGGGAGCCATTATTTTACCTCTATTTTGTTAGGTCAATCATCATGTTCCACAGAAGATGTGCATATGGCAGAACAACACTGTGCCATGTGCAGCTGCAAACACTTTCTAGATAGGGTTAAAATTCAGCATCAGCTCTCTAAAAAATAACTCATTTTTCAATAAGAAGGTAATAAACTGGTTGGTTAGATGCTATGCAGTGAGCTTTTAATTAAAAGATGTTTAAATCTGATTCTCTCAACTGTTAAAGAATTTAATTCTTGAATTATGTTTGCTACAGTTGTTGTTGTTGTTGGGGATTTTCAGTAACACTGTGAAGTTCTCTTTGTGCAGTGCTGTAGGGGATGGATGGTAGCTCCTGACAGATTCAAACACAGCTGGCTGAGAACACTGCTGGTGATGGATGAACAATGTCTCTGTTAATGCCTTTTATACATAAATGATGGGCTTGCTTTATTTATTTATAAGATGTATCCAATTACACATCTCAGAGCAAATGTCCACCGTTCAGTAAAGCCCACAATATTGGCATTAAAAAGACAATCACTGAAATCAGTGATCAATGTATTTTCCTTGTTCTCTGGAGAGAAACTGAAATAAGAAGTAAACCTAAAATTCAGCAAATTCCAGTAGTTCTTTAGGGATCTAATCATTGCGTGTAAGAAGTGACTGAAACTCAACGAGGAATGATCTTGTCTCTGCTCTGGCCACTTGCAGAGCACCACATTCACCTGAGATTTTGCTTCCATGGGGTTTGGATGGATCAGTCTCACCTGCAGAGCTGCTCAGAGTCTGTCATCCCACAGTGGTTGCTAAAGCTGCATTGGCTGTAACCTGCTGGGATGTGTTTCAGTGCAGTGAGCCATCTTACTGACTCAAAGAGGAGGAGAATGAATGGTTTTGCCCTTCATGTAGCTGCAGCATAGGTTTTTTGGTGCTTTTACTGTGTGTCTGTGGGTGTTTGTACTCCTGAGTGGATCCAATTTAGGGCATGAGCTGTCTAACCAATGTAGGAAACTTCACAGTGTAAATTAAGTTAGTTTCTTTTATCTAGTAGTTTAGGTATATTCTGAAATAATTCTTAGTATTTTGCTGCAAAAGAATTAGTCTGGATTAATGTGGGTGTGCAGATAGCAGCATGTTAAACAATTTTAGACTTTATATCTGGCTTGGCCTCTTGGAAGACACCTAACTCAACTGATAGTGGGGTAAATGCTTACTTGGGTGTGGTCTGTATTAAGTAGCAAATGCACTGTAAATTTGCCCCTGTGTTTCTAATAACTTAGTGATATAGAAGTGGCTTGAATTTTGGTGATGGCATTAATTTATAATGTAGCCAAAACCTGAAGGTTCTGACCTTCTCCTCTTGTTCTGAGCAGCAACTGGCAGAACAGGAGGACACAGTCTCAAGCTACGTCAGGGAAGGTTTAGGTTGGATATTAGGAAAAAAATTTTCACTGAAAGAATAATAAAATACTGGAATTGTCTTCCCAGGGACGTGGTGGAATCACCATCTTTGGATATGTTTTAAAAAAGACTGGACTTGGCACTTGGTGCTATAGTCTGGTTGTGGTGTTAGGGCATAGGTTGGACTTGATGATCTTAGCGGTCTCTTCCAACCTCATTATTCTGTGATTCTGTGCTTCTGTGACCTAGCAAAGAGTAAGTCTCTCATCCATTCCTGGCTTTCAAATGGAAACATTTGGGAGGCTGTGGAGCAGAAGCCCTGGGACAGAGAGCTGGTGTGCAGCTGGCAGTGCAGGCAGCAGCTGAGCTGTGTTTGCTGCTCACAGGGGTGGTGGCTGTTTGGCACTTTGATGATGCTCTCTGCTCTTTCCTGATGGTGGGAGCCCAGCAGTGAGTTCTGCCCCTTTCCAGAGGCACTGGAGAGCAAGCCTGACTTATTCTGTGGTTGGAGCTGCTGGGAAGTGCAGCCGGTGTGTTTGTTTCTCATCCTGTCCTGCTGCCTGTCTCCGAAATGTGGTGTTTTCATCTTGGATGTGGTAGCTCTGGAAGAACTTATATTCTCAACAAGGTTTAGCAAGACAGAATTGTGACTACCAGGCAAATAATTTAGAGTGTGGTTTGGTTTCTAGGAACAGAGGCTTACTAGTTATTTTTTGCTGGTTTCTGTGCTATTATGTTGTTGTGATAATCTTGGCAGGAATCTGTCACTCTGTGTTGGTATAATTGAAACTTGTTTTCCCTGAGGAATCACTCTGCTGCTTGTTTTATTTGTTTACTGACATTGACAGAGATCCTAATGGCTTTTAAAACCCAATTTGTGCATCACTGAATATCCTCCAAAAAGGAAAATAAAATTAAATTTATCAGTAAAATAGGGTCCCACATGCAATGCTTTGTCTGGGTCTTGGGCTCCACCTGAGCACCCAGATGGGGGTCTGGAAATGGTGTGGTGAGCTGCATCTTCTGATTATTTCTAATTCTGTCTTCAGGGCTTTTGTCATTAAGATACTTGAAAGGATAAATTACAATAAGTTATTTAGGGCATCAGTGTAAGTTGCCCAACTTTGCCTTGCGAGAAATAAATTATCTTTGTCTTTTATTAAAAAGGAAGTTAAGATAACAAAACAATAACCACAGTGAAATTTCCCTTTTGGGAAGGTACACATGATGGTATCACTTATTATTGTCATAAATCAGGGTAATTAAGTGTTTCGCTTTAAAAAAAAAATGTATTACATCAAAATGTTTATGCATTTATTTTGTTTTAAGCCTTTGAAGAACTTCAATGAGAATGTTTGGACTATTTATGTTTGTAATGCCTAGTTGCATTGTGATTATGGATAGCTGTGTGGCTTGTTGCATGCCATGCTCCTGAGGAGCACGCACACAAATAAATGGTGAGGCAGACATTCAGGAATGTAAAAGAAAGGATGGGTTTCTTTAAGCCTAAAGAACACAGGATATATTTTTTAACTCCCCCAAGGCTGTGGGTTTTGCACTGGATGAAGATTCAGATTTTTTTTTTTTTATTTTAGTGGAGTGATTTAGACCATCTCTAATCGCCTTTTGACACACTTCCTTGTCACTCAAGCACATAGGGATTGCCCAGGTTTCAGTGAACTCTGACTGTGAATGTCATGAGGAGATAAGTTTGGAAAATACTGCTGATTTTAAAGGTTATCTGTCAGTTTGTATATATACAGCTATGAGCCAAACCAACCTGACCTCAGACCAGAGCTGTAATATAATAACACTGCCTTTCTTACTCTGTATCTCCTTTGCAAATCTCCCTGACATTGATAGCACTACAATAATAATAGATCTGCAATATTTAGGTTGCCTTTTCTAAGGAAGTGCTCTAATGTGCCTTGGAAAAGTGGGTAATTGGTGCTATCTTCTTTTTTACAGAAGGTAAATTAGAGAGAGAACCCTGATTCCCACCTCCTTGTTCTCACTGTACTTGGTTCAGTAGCACAGATCTTGACCATATGCACTGTCAGTCTGATTTGTGTTTTATTTATTGCATTGCAGTGCCTAGAACAAGGATTTTGGCTACTGGTGGTGCATCCCACAATAAAAAGATCTTACAGGTAAGTAGAAAATTAAGTCCTGAACTGAGCTTGCAATTACATCTCCATTTTTATTTTGCTGTACTGAATCCAAATCATTGCAGCTGCACAGGAAGGTGTGGATATGGAATTGTGAATCTGCTGCAGGTCTTTGGGGTTTTTCTTCAGGTTTAGTGTGAAAACCTTTTGCCCGGTGCTAATTTTACATTGAACTTAAAGTTTTTTTCACACTTGACTGGTTTTATGAAGGAGTATCTGAAGCACTGGTGATTTCCAAGTCTCATCACTTAAATCAATCAGCAAAGAAATCACAAAGGAACTTCTTATGTAATACCTGAGGTAGGTTTTTTTCTTGGTCTGTTGCAGCACAGAGGAAAACGGATGGTGCTTGAACTTAACAAATGTAACGTGTCCTTCTGGGTGATCCCAGGAGCTTTCTGGGCTCCAGGGGCTGCCTTGACAAGCTCTCCTTTAACCACAGGCTCCAACACTGACCTGGAGGTAGATATGTACACCAGAAGTCCTAATCTTGGGCCAGGTCTTATCACTGGTGATAGCTGTGAGAAATGGTACTTCCAAAAATTTTAAAGGTTTATTAAAACTTGATCGAAAAATACAACAGAAGACTGAATGGAGAAAACCATACCGTGCTGGGAGCAAAGGATTTTTTCTCACCATGTGCTTGTCCACATAATGGATGTTCCACCTTTTAACCCTTTAGCCTCTCCCAAAGTCTTGTCAATTGACTCTTCCTTCGCTGTCCAGTGGTGGAGATCACTTTCTTACATCTTGACTGCCACAGTAACAAGCTGACCCTCCCAAATGCCCTGACCACCCAGGTCACCCTGTGATAACAATGCAAGGAGGGGTAAAACATAACTGTAAATGTATAAAACTTACACATAATATTTGCCTTTTAATGGTGAGAGTCAACCATCACATTGCTCATCTATCTCAGAGTGAACACAGGTGATTTCCAGGTCTCATCACTTGATCCAGAAATGTTTTCTGGAGATTCCAATCCCTTCCCATCAGCTCCAGAAAGTCAAGGCCAGCCTCAGCTGCACACCATTCTCTTTGACAATTGCAGTCAATTGTCTGCTCCACAAAACCTGAGCTGGATTAAATGGAGGTCTAAAAGCTAAAAAGCAAAAAGCTGTTTTCTCCTAAGGCATCTAAACCACATGTGTGTGTAACTGCTGCTTGTACAGCTGATTGGGGAGCAGCAAATTTGGCATGTTTTGCCTGCAGATGTCACTTCTCTTCATCTGCTTTGGTTACTTTGCCTAAGAATGTGACATTGGAAAATTAACTGATTGGTTAATTGCCTAAAACATTGGTCCTTACAGGAGTAATTCTGCTAAGGGTACATCAGGAAAGATTGGATTCACAGACGAGTTTGTTTTTAAAGCTGTATTTCCAGTTTGGGTGTCAGGAGGATCTCCTTGCTGTGCAATGAAGGCAGAGAAACAAATGTTCTTAAAATGCATAATTTGGTAACATACACAGCTGAAAAATCATGGGATTGGGAGAGTGGTGGCTGGGGTGCTTGCTCTTCACGTATAACAATTCAGCTGGTTTTAAAACTCATTACAAGTGCCTTAAAATAATATGATCAATACACTGTCATTCACTTAATTCAATCACTGGTTAATTGGATCTTTCTTTTTAATTTAATCTAAACCTCAGAAACCATATCAGTTGCATAAAGAATAACAGCTTCCACCCTTATCATGGTCAATTTTGGATAATTTGTTCCAGGGCTACAAAAGACTATCATTTAATTAATCAACGTTCAGGAACTCCTATATTTTACACCACAAAGGAGACAACTTAGGAAAATCTGTTAAAAAAAATTTAGTAGGGCAGCTTTCTTCACAGTTCCAGGAAGCTTTTTATAACATATGTGGTGCTTGATTAATGACCACATGGAACACAGTGAATTTTCTTAAGCAGTAGAACCTCTAACGGTTGCTTTTTAAATTATTTGTGAGAGATACCACAGTTCCAAATGACTTACCAAATATATGCACTTTGAATAATTTTTATTTTATAATTGTGGTAAAAAATGTCATTTGCTAAATTGTTAAAATGTTATTTTTAGTATTACAGCACTTCTTAGCAATCAGTATAGAGTAGAGCTGCATTGCATGAGGCTTCTCAGAGATGCAAAAAAAAAAATATTGTTGCCCAAAAGATTGTACAATTTAAACTTAAGAAATGCCTGCTGGAGATGAGGTGAAGATTTAGATGGGGAATGTGTTGAAACAAAGTGGTAGCATTTGCTGGTAGGATGGGCAGTGGGACTAGAGCTCTGTGACCTTACAATTTCCAGAGTACTGTTTAATAGATGACCATGATTTATTTTTCATTTGTTCTCTAGCACTGAAGCTCATGTTCTGCTTAGTGCTTGCTTGCAAATGAAATTAGCCAATCCTGACTTTTCTGTCTTACCAGAAGACAGTTTTAAGTGTATAAAATCAGGCTTCCACTGGGTTCTAGTTAGCAAACAGCCACTTTCACTTAAATTGTGCAAATTGGTGATTTTCAAAGGTTTTCATTTGAAGATTCTCCACAAAATTTCAGAGAAAGAAAAATCCTTTATGAAATTCCATGTACTATATATTTCTATAGGTGATATGGATTGAATTTCTTAGTCATCTTTTCTGAAGCCCTGGGGTGTCATAAAAGATGACTAAGAAATTATAACTACAGCACGGTTATAAATTCCAGGATCAGAGTTGCCTTGCACTAATCCAAATGGTTTGGAATGCTGGACTTTCTGGCTTTATTTTAGACTCGATTCCATGGATTTAAGTCAGGTGAGACACTCTTCCCTTTGGCAAAAGTAATAAAACCAGCACAGGTTATATCTGAATTGTTTCCTGGTTCTTACGTTGCTCAGCCTGAGGGGCACTTGCAGTCCTAGAAGTAATGAAACCAAAATGGAAAGCATTTGTTGACAATGTTTTTGGAAAGGAGTTATTAAACCTCCTATGCCCCTATCCAAATATGTCTTAATTTTTCACATTCTGTGTTATTTTTCTAAACCTAAACTTTGGGGAAGAGCAGATGTACTCAGTGGATGTGAGGCGCTGATTTCAATGCAGAATGACGTGTGGTCAAATAACTTTAGTATCTGTTGGATACCATAATAATTTCTTTGCCTGTAAAGTTTTATTTTTATTACTCAAGCCAAATGTCTCGATATATCTTCATAGCTAAGGTTCCCTTAAAACCAGGAAAACTGGTAAATTTAGAGACTATGTAATCAGCTCCTGTGTCATTCTCCCTGCTGATCCTAATAGGATGGGAGTGGTGGAGATGAAGAAGAAAGGCTCAGCAGGCCTTCATATTGCTGAAGGTTTATTTTTATCCAAGTTTAGAGATAAGGAGCCATGACTGCTTCTTCTATCTTTCCTTCCCACTTGAATCAGCCTTAACATGATGGAGGCAAACAGGCTCCCGTCATGGGTTCCTGAGCAGGTCTCCTTGCCCTGACAAAAGCCTTTAGCATGGGCTGATTGTGTCAGATTTTGAGGAATGATGCTTCAACCAGGGCTTCTCTGAACTGCAACCAAGAGATCCAGAGAGAAATGGGACTTTATTTCCTGGCTAGACTTACATTTGTAGCTCAGAATTATCCATACCCTGTGGTGTGATGAGTTCAGGCCTCACTGTTGCCTGCAGTGCTTCATTCCATGGGTTCCTGAGTGCTTGGCTGGGGCTTGGGCAGCTGCTTGTTTTCCTGAGCAGTGATGAAGGATTTCTTTTCCCTTTGTGTTTCATGGATGCTTTGATCCCCTCAGGTCCTGTCTGACGTGTTCAACGCGCCCGTGTTCACCATCGACACGGCCAACTCTGCCTGTCTGGGAAGTGCTTACAGAGCAATCCATGGTAAGGCTCCAGGAGATGCTTGTGAGCAGTCAGGGAATTGAATTTCACTTGGGTAATACTTGGGATTAACGTTACTGGGCATGAGGGGGGAGTAAAGCTGTGCACATCTGACTGGAAGGTCACACAGGTCAAAGAGGGATTTTGCTCTTAGTACGCTCAGATTAGGCCAGAGAATATAATTTACATTGCAATTCCAAACCTGGTGGCTGCTTCTCAACCAAGGGATGGGGTGTGGGGAGTGTTGTCTAGGGAAGGTCGGAGTTGTTGCATCCATGGAAGAATACAGCCAGCTGAAGGTGCTGGTGCAGCCTGCTGCCCAGTTTGTGGGCTGGCTGTAAACTGGGTTGCTGAAATGGCCAAACCAAACAAAGGGTTGATTCCAGCAAAGAGACCAATGAGGGCAGGGACAACAAGACCTATAATACTGCTGGCCAATATAAAACCTATATTTATCTTCCAGCTTTTAAACATCAAGTTGAAAGAAATGCAAGGTGTCCTGAGCTCCATGCACTTTCTCTTGTAAAAGCATGAATCTTGGGCTCACCAGTGCTCTTGCTTGCTGTACTACATCACTCACTCTAATATAACAGTCCAAGCCCCAGGATTTACATGTTAATTAACTTATATCTATTAATGCATGTGGGTGTGTGTTAAGGGTGGGCCATCAGCTATTTAAGACTTGAATCCCAACCATGAATTTTTATCCATGTATTTTAAAATGGTTTTTAATATCTTACAACTAAACAACTCAAGAGTGTGGAAGTCCTTGTTTAGGTCAACTTCAGTTAGCCTCAGTATTTTTAATTTGAATCTTTAGGATTTGGGCCTTAAGACATGGGTAACTTTTCTACAAGTTCATGTAACACCATGGGATTGCAACAAGCATTGAAAAGATAGCACCAGCCATTAGAAGAAATCAGCCAAGCTGTAATTTTAGAAGCAAATTCTGCTGTCACGTTATAGCATCTAAAGACTACACAATCTCTTGCATTTGAAAACAGCACAGAAAATTGCACAACCAAAACCTGAACTGATGTGTTTAATGCACACAGCATTCTCTCCTCTTTATTTCCAGAAAAGGCACAGGGGTTCTGTCAGGCCAAGTGGGCATTTGCAGGACAGTGGAAACACTTGGATTCTCTTTATATTTTAAGCCATTTTTGCACTTTGTAGGTCGAGTTTCCAACTGTTTTTCTTTATACTCAAACTCTACCTTCTGCTTCAGATACCTCCCAGCACCTAATGCTGCAGGCAAACTCCTTATCCTTGAATGCATGTGAAATATGGAGCCACTATTAAAGTTTGTGCAGATATTTTGTGTGTGTGGGAGAGGTGGATTCCCTCTGCCAGCTTGGCAGATGAGATGTGGAGGCTTGGCTGACAGAGCGTTTGAGTGAGGATTTCGGATGCTGTGCTGATGGAGGGACTCATGGGCTCACATCCTCTGCCAGCCAAGCCCCAGGGGGTTTGCTGTGTGTGTTCCCAAATGGCATTTTTGATTGATGCTTTCAGCTGCCTCACTCTTGGCCAGGCAAAGGAATTGAGGAAAACTGAGGACTTGCTAATATAAATGAAATACTGATGGCAAGGACTCTTGAATAATATTACAATGTGCATCTGGGGTGTTTCCCAGTTAGCCTGGGGTTCTTAGCAGGTGTGCAGGGAGCTCATGAAATGCTGTGACTTGCTCACAAAGCAAAATGCTCTGGTAGCAGAACTCCCCAATTATTCTGCTTCCTTACATATAAATATATTTAATAATTTGTAGCATATTTTCTTGAAAATGTTTTCATTTCACTTCATTTTTATGTTTAGTCGCATTATGTCCTTGAATCCCTAGATTCCATGTATTTTCACTGCTGTTTACCGTTGTAACCATAAATAATTACTGATATTGTTGAGCAGCATTTCTGCTGCTTACCTGTTCCCCAGGGTACAAATTGAGTGATTGGCAAAAACTCAATCACAGAGTCCCCACTTCCCAGGCTAGCTCATAGGAATGTAAAATCTTCTGCCATTTATCCTTCAATCCTGAATGCTGACCTGACCAGGGAAGATCAATATAATGTATTAATTTGCCAGGGAGTCAAGGCACATCCCTCATGGTGTTTTTTTGCATTGATCAGGATTGTGATTCTCATTGCAGGGCTTGTAGCAGAGAGGAATGTGTCCTTGGCTGATGTTGTGAAATTAGCACCCGAGCCCAGATTGGCTGTCACACCCACCCCAGGGGCTGAGGAGGTGAGCAAGTTTGGCAATACCATTTCCCATTTCATTTCCTGTCTGCTTCAAAATGTAGTGGTTTGCTAATTCTTCTGGTAAAATAGATTAATTTAGGAAACACTTGGTTCCATGATTCTTATTCCTTGTTGTAAAGACAGATTTGATTTGAGAGGTTATTTGGTGTTGTAATGATGCAATAATCTGATCCCACCATCCAGGTCTGTGAGAATAAATTTTCCTAACAAGGTGTGATCAGACAGCAAAATGTCTTCCTTAAGTGACAGAAGTTATAAAATAGATTGAATTTGATTACAGATCATTCAGGTTGTAACTGATAATCTTGACAAAATAATCTGGACTTGTTTGCAGCAAGCAGCATGGAAAAAAGGCTGGCTTCTTGGAAAATGTCTCCAAAAATCTTTCCTGTCTGTAAACAGTGGTCAGCAATTGTATACAGTCACTGGTAGCTCCCACCTGGAAACCATGGCAGCTGGGAGGATTCAGTGGGCACAGGTCTTTGGTTCTGTGCCCATCCTGTGAATTTCGGCACGTCTGAAGGTGAGGCTTGTGCTTTATGGCCCACATAGACAAAGAAGAAGAGATAGTCATTGTTGATAACTATGTGATTCCAGCCCTTGTAAAACCAAGGAAGGAATCATTGTCTCAGGCTCTCCAGTGCAGCCCTGCACGTCTCACTCCCAGCCAAAGGCTTTAGTTTATGACATCTTTTGAAATATAATGTGCAGTAATAAATAAACAATACAATATAGCAAGATTCCTGGAGAACACATGTTTAAATAACAAAGGTGAACCTCACCAAGGTCTTCAGCTGTGCAAAAGCTTCTTTTACATCAGCACAGCCTTACACACTGTACCATTTATGAGATTTGGAAGTGGCCTAACTACAGGCAACAAGGTTTTAAAGCTTTTATTTAAACTGGGAAATTAATGATCTGCCAAAACTACTAACTCCCAGCTACATGTGTAGAGGAGCACCAGATATCATGATGAGTAATAATAGAAATGATCATGCTGCATTGTGCCTGCCAGCGTATTATTTAATTATTAACTGAGATGGAGGAGTTCAGTAATCGAATAGAAGTCCCCTTCAGAAATATTAAGACATTGAATAATTTAAACTTGATTGATCTGATCTCATTTACTCAACCTTCCCCCCTCATTTTAAAAGATAAAATAATTAACAGCAGTGGCCTGTGCCACGTGTGCTGCAGCTGAAGCTCTCTGCAGGGAACACACCGCAGGAGCAGCTCCCTGGTGTCTGATTCAACCTCACGTGGCTGCCCTGTTCCCCCCCAAAATGCTGTGTGCTGAAAAGCTGCCAGCCTGGCTGGGGTGGAGGTGGGGAGTGCTCAGAGACCTGCTTTTGACCCCTGGGTGCTGCTTCAGCTATAAAACTCAAGGGCAGAGAATACAGCTGTCACTCACAGGGGCCCTGCAAGCACCTTGTACCCCTGCAGGGGCCAAGCAAACCTGACTGGAGAGATCACTGGGGAATGCAGCTCCCTCTTTCTATTTTGCTCTCTGCATAAAATGGCCTGGAAGCTAAAAGAGTTAATTATCTCCTTCTCAATACTTTCCTTTTCCACATGGTTAGACCTGGCTCTCCTTACACATCTTTTTTTATTGGTTTTAAATGATGTACAGTAGTGAATTGTTGCCCCAGTAGATAGGAATGAATGACAGAGAGGCAGTGGCCAAACAGCATGGGAAGGAATAACCATTCCTGCTCTTTAGCTTGGCTTTCCAGCTTCATTCCATTAAAATCAGCTTCTTGCAATTACATATTCCACACCATTTCTTTTTTCTTCCTGCCTTATAATTTTGCAGTTCCCTGGCTAGTTTCATAGCTGTGAAACTGCAGAAAGCCAGAGGGCCTGTCAGTAATACAGTGTGCTAGCATGAACAGTGCAGTAAAAATTCATAATGCAATGAGTCAGTTTGATTCTGTTTCATACAGAGCTGCATCTCCCTGTCCATCCAATTTCATTCTGTTGAGGTTAGAGCCTTTCACTTAAATGATAGTTCTTTTTATAAACTTCAAAGTCATCCTGAGGTTAAGTCCTGTCTTGCTGAGGAGCTCTTCTGAAAGAGTCTGGCTCACCAATGTGAAATTCCCCCAACCGCTTCTTTACATTTTTTGGACAGCTACAGCTAGATCTTGGCAGGGTGGAGAAAAAACAGGTCATAACACAGCAATCTGCTCTGGTTTCATCCTTTCTTCCTGGTATAGGTTGGAGACAATGTGTTAGATCATTGGAGAGAGGAAAACCTCCTATAGACAGAGGTCAGATGGGACAGTTTGATGTAGCTTCTCCTTCCTTGCCAAGGCCTATGCCCACAGCAGGGGTTTCCAGGAACCAAAAATGCAAAAAGCGTTTCTTTGATTTCTGAGGGATCATTTGTGATAATGAATGTGATTTTAAAAAGCAAGGGCAGGGCACACAAAGCAGCTCTTCTGGTTCAATTAAACTGATGGGCAGGTAAAATGGAATAAAGTCACAAGATGGGGAACACGGAGCTTGTGGTGGGCGTTGAATCAGTAGTTAGTGGAAACTGAAGTCTCGAAAGTTCCAACTTGCCTGGCAACAATGTGACTTTGTCCTGCAGCAGACCATGGTGCCTTGAAGAGACCATTTCAAAGAGGATGAATCCCTCTCTGTGGGCATGACCCCAGGTCTCTTAGCTGAACCTGATTTCCCAGTATTTTTGTAGGACTGGGGTATTAATCTGAGCTTGTTTCTAATTCTTTCAATACCTGAATGGGTCATGAGGTGTTCTGGTGGTGGGAACCACGGTGGTGATAGTCCTTGGTCACTCACTCAACCAGACTAGTTCAAGTCAGTAATTTGTGGGTTAATCTGATGAATCCTTCTTCCTTTTTTTTTTTTTCAGAATAGCAAAAATTAAAGAGTCATTTCACCTCCTTGGGGCCTCTTCTCTTCCCTGAGGAAAATGATTAATCAGAACCACTAAGCATGACAAAAATAACCAGGAGATTCTTGAGCAATAGATAGATGTTAACAGACAGAAATAATCTGTTATTTTAGCATTAGAATTCAGATCTATTTTAGTAATCTATTAAAACAGGGATGGTTGGCTAGTTGGTTAATTAAGCAAACATAAAACATGAGAGAGAACATGACTGTCTGGGAGCTGGTCACTTGTGTTATACAAGCTGTGTGACAGAGTGCAAGATTGGTTGTGATACTGTCCTGTGGGGTTTTGTAGGGAGAAGACATAGAGCAGCTCACTACCTCTGGATGTGTGATTTTGATTGCATTATTGACTCTGCTGAGATGTATTAATCTTGCAAAAATTCAGGAAGGGAAAATGTAAACCTAACAGGTTTTCTTGACTTTGGTGAATTGCCTTGTAAGTGGGTGGATTTATAGAAATGACCCTATTACCCAGGAAGGTTATAATGACCTATTTATTGATTTAAAATAATTATATTTTGTTGAGTTAGATTTTGGAGGGGGAAGGTTGTTTTCTAGAATTGGTTTAGGTTGGTTATTTAGTGCAAAGTAGGTAATAATAATACAACCACAAAAATATAATAGGTATTGACAGAAGTTCGATTAAGGTGATTTGTGTAGCCAATAGTTTTTTTAAACTGATTAAGATAGGCTTGCAGAATGGATATCTGAAGTAAAGAATGTAACTGTTTCAGGTGTGGTTCCTTGGAGAAGTCTTGAGAGTATTTCAGAACACTGTTTTATTGTTTCTGCTTTATGAGTATTCTTTCTCTGTTAAGAACAGTGAACAACTGCTATGATTTGAAAAATAAAACAACCCTTGATTTCTTAAGCAAATCTCTGGGTAATTGGACTTTGCTTAAAAAAAAAAAAAAAAAAAAAAAAGGAATCTATCAAAAGAAGCAAGTGTTTGTGAGAGACTGATTAATTTTAATCTATTCAGGGTAGATTAAATGTACTTGGGTAGATTAAAATTAGATAATCATCTGCATCATCTTTGTGATTTGTAATTTTTGAATTGCTCCAGTGATTGGCTAACAGAGCATTGCAGGAGATAGGAGGATTCATGTGGATTGTCTCTTGTAGTAATAATTTGTAGCTGCTTTTGCTTTTAGAAGGTGGCAGGGACAATCTAAACAGTAAAAACCCAGTTGAGTACATAGGCTGGTAATGGGGTGAGGTGTAGTAACAGGATGACACATTTGATTTGTCCTAGAGAACAAGGCAGCATTGTACAATTGCATTTTTCAGAGAGGGTAAGTTAAATTATTCCCTTTAGTTGTGCGACTGTCAGAATGTGTCCAAATTGTCCCTGGAGAGAAGTTTAGGGTTTGTAAATGAAACAGTTAGAGTACTGTCAATGTTGTGGAGTAGGCTATAAAGATAAGCTGAAGAAAGGACCATAATTAAGCAAGGACAATTAAATTATGGACAATAATAAGGTTTGTGTTGTGGTACATGTAATTACTTTTATTAAATATCATGGTTTGATAGATTAGGTTTGAGGCTATGGCAGAGAGGGAATTTATGTCCTTGGGTTTTTATGCATTATTGAGAGTCCTTTATTCCCTTTGGACCTCAATTATAAAAATACATCTATATAATTGCCTCAGGAAAGAGACTCCCAGAATTGCACAGGAGGAGTTGCCCAAGGTTCTGTGGAGGCATTTCAGTCAGGACAGATGTGGAGAATCACCTTCCACAGACACACCTGGGTGCACACCTGGCCATGCTCTGGGTTGGTGCTGTTTGGCTTTTTTTCTCTGTGTTTCATGGGAGCTGCACTGCCCCAGCCCCAAACCTCAGCTGGCATGAAAAATACTGTTTGTGAAAAGCCTGTGGTACTGCTGCACTTATCAGCTATGATGTACTGGTGGTATTACAGCCAAATTCCCTCAGGAGGAGGAATTAAAGGCTTTGCTTATCCCTCTGAGCTGTGCAGCTTTTTTACCCCAAGGAATTGGAACAGAGTACAGGAAATATTCTTAATTTTTGTATGCATTTTTTTTTCATATGGTCCATAATGCAGGATTCATTTACACTAATGGCTGAGAAGCTTATTGCAAATGCCTGAATTTTCTCAATTAGCAAACTAAGTGCTCAAGTCCAATAAACAGGAAAATAAACTGTGTTAGTAAATGTGGTTGTTCATTTATTTTGACACATTTTACTTTAGAGTGATGTATTAACAATAATACTTCCCAGCCTTCTGGTAAATGCATTGTGTGTATTTTGTAAAAATACTGATGGGTAAGTGATATGGAGCCTGCTTTCTCAGTGCCTGAGCTCACTTACCAATGCAGCTTTGCTGTGCTGAATCTTTGCTGAGAGGCAGTTAGCACTTACCAAATTTACAGAATAGTGAAGTAAGAAATAGCCAGTCTTCATTACAGATGCTTCAGTGAATAGAGGAGCTGGTTTTGTTTGAAATACTGATACTCCCACTATATCCATGGTTGCCTGCTCAATGTTTTGTTTACTCTTATGTGCATATTTACCAGAAATGGGAGCAATATTTTCATGTTCTTTGGGAACATGAAAAGAATATATATATGTATATATACATATATATATGTGTGTGTACTTCTTAGAGCCCTCCAGGCCTTCATGTAGTTACTTAAAAATACCATGCTGAGTAATGTGGCATTTCATAATAGTGTTGCATTTTATTTCCTAACCCCATAAATCTGCATAAACCTCCAGGATCTCAGTATCACTGTCCTGTGGGGAAGAGGAGCTGGGGCACACACGTGTTAAATGCCTGACCTGGGGTCACTGAGTGAGTAGGAGGCAGAGGCAGGAGTGAGTAGGACTCTCTGCTTTAATCAGAGAAAGACACTGTAAGACTCAGTCACTGTGAGTTGGCTTTAAAAAACATTTCGTGATGTCTTGGCTAATGAACAGTGTCTCTTTCCACTTCTGTGGATGCTCCTTCTCTTCTACCCCTTCATATACTTAATCTGTTATAGAAATGTAGAAATGAAACTTGAATTTCTATAGCATCTGGTTTGTAAAAAGGAAGGAATTGGTCAAAACTAGATCCATCTGCAGAATGCGTCCATTAAGTCACTTCCACCTGCTATTGTGGAAGGTGGAAATGGGAATGAAGAGATAAATCCAATTTTCACTAGTCTATCTTAAACTATCATTCAGCAGAAGGGAAACAAAAACTGGGTATTTTGCCATCATTTGAAAGAGAAAACAAAAACCCACCATTTTTTATTTCCTAGATGAGAAAACTTTGTGATTTCTATTTTTTTTTTTTAATCTGGGAAAGTGTGGCTGTTACAGACACTGAGGATACTGCAGGACTGTACAGAGACCTGCCCAAGAAGAAGCTGGTCTACACCAGCTTCAGTTTACACCTGAAACATTTTCCTCCTGAATTTTTCATACATGTACACACACTGTTGTTGGCTGTCCTGAAAAGGATAAAGTGCATTGAAATGCTAGATCTCTCTTACTGATGAGAGCAGTAATTCAGTTTGCTGGCTATGATTCATTATGGTTCTATAACCTCTCTGAACCTGATTATGAGTCAGTGCAGGGGGCTTGTAGACCAGACTGGCAGCCTCTAGGATTCACTGTGGCAGGGATATGACCTTCTGGCATCCTCCTAGGGGACTGCTCAAGCCTGTACCAGACCCTGCACTGGCTCCTGGCATTCCATTCTTTGTGCTGGAGCCAGCAAATGTGCAAAGCTGTGCTGCTATGGCTTGTCACAGCACTGATTTTATTAACACCAGAGGGAGGAGATAAGGAGAAAGGTGCATCTCCAAGATCTAGATGAAGTAGAGTTTTTGGTTGGAGCCAGAGCAGGGATTTATTCAGGGTTTCTCATCTCACGGATCTCACCCATATCTGAACGTGCAGGATGTGTCTGAGCCTGGGGTTTTGAACACATTTGAGTCTTGATTCTTCTTTTTATGGTTGTAACAATACCGTACCTAAAAACTCCTGGAAAATTCTAGCTAGGAAAACACAAACAAGCTACTCAGATACTTGGTTTTGCTGTGGATAGAAGCTGGGTCTGCATTTGTCCCTGTGGGCCTGGGGAGCAAGGAACATGGCCATGGAGCAGACTGTGGATGGGCAAGGTTGTGGCTGTAAAGATGTGTATTAGAGGAACAGCTCAGACAGGCACAGGAGTCTGAGAGGGAGTGTGAAGTGCATTTTGGAAGGGCTGGTCAGCACATTGGCCAAGGAGGACCAATCTGACTGTGCTGGAGGGTGCAGTGGGGTGATTAGTGAGGCAGAGGAGGAGGGGACAGGCAGTGATCCATCCTGGGGCAGTGGAGGGAGGCAAGGACAGGAGTTCTGCCTGGGTGATTAGCACAGCTATTACTGAGGGGGCATGTCACACTGGGAGAGGTGACTTTAGCTGAGCTGCTTCTGCTGGAAGTAATGACTTCTGCTTATAGCAAGAACCCAGTCACAATAAGAACAAGCTGTGCGTGTCATAAAATTAAGCTGTAAAGGTGATGGTAAAAAGGACTGTGACATTTAAAGAGGGAAAACTCTGCAGCACTTTCATGAACAAATTAGGGAAAAACCAGCCCAAACCTTCAGGTACCTGTGAAGATGCTGCATTTTTCATGTCTGAAGATGCTTTTTAACTGCAGTGTAATTTAAAAATCTAATTTTTCAATGAGACGTATTTATTTCTTTTTCCTTTTTAGCTCTATCGTCCACTTTTGAAAAGATATGCTGAGCTTGAACAGAAGGTTATCTACAACTCTGCCTCTTCTTGTCTTGTGAAATAGAAGCAAATAAAATTTATTTGTTGTCTGAGCAGACTCCCAAGGAGAAGATCAGAAGAGATTTGCTCAGAATTTACTGGAGCTGTTTAAATCATTTTGTTCTTCTTTGTAGACAAATAATTTTTAAATGTCTGTGTTTGAGTGTGTTGGTGGGGAAAAAATTACATTGTGATTGAAAACCTGATTAAAAAAGCATCATATTGCTCTGTGTGGTTGTGGCCTCAATTTTTCTTAGGTACTTTTCAGACTGTGCTTGCTCTTTCAGAAGAGCTGGGGGACAAAGTCAAGTTCCTTGTGTATGTGAGTCACTCTACCCATCTCTGTCAGCTTTGATTCCATGTGTTTGCCAGCCTCTGCATACCTGTCTAGCAAAGTATCTTAATTCCTCAATTTCTCTTGCTTAAATGTTTTGAGACTATCTTTCTGTTAATCTGTAACTTAGAGATGTTTATATCTTTGCCTACACAGAAAGCATAAGCACACTGATTTAATCTCATCTTTCTTTAATATGTGGAGGAGGCTGATTAAAGTCTTTAAAGACTCCCTGGGATCCTCTGAGAAGGGAAATTCTTGTCACATGGTGCTATGGAAAGCCTGTTGTGTGATAACATGATATGGCAGGGGTTTATAGATTGTGGAAAGCACAGAGATCTTGTGCGATACAGACACCACTGTGCAGTGTTTGACTTGACACCAGATTTTGTAAAAAAGAAAATAAGAGACCAAACATGGGAAGTTTCATACACCTCCTTTCTGCTTCAGAAAGCAGAGTCAGTCCATCTGCACACCAGCTTGGAGTTATTCTCTTTCTTCCTCCTCTTTGGCTCCTTCTTCCTCCTCATGGCTGTGAAATTCTGTGTCATGCTCTGTTCTCGACAGGGCAGGAAGATAATTTTTTTTTCTTACCCTACCAATATCCCATTTCTTTCTTGAAGATCTTGAATAGAACAGCTTGATTGTCTTGCACTGTTGCTACTGTTTCACTTGAAATGTTTTAGTCCAGATTAAGTAGCTTCTAGCTGAGAAAATCTTAGAAAATGTGAGCCAGGAGATCTTTCTGCAAAGATGTGTTCAAGTTGCAGAATTTGAATGAACGTCCCTGTGCAAGTGGGAACACTTTACTGCATTCTGTGGAGCTGGTATCTTTCCCTTAGGATAAAATTTCTCCTGGGAATAAAGCAGATTGTTTAATGAAAGTGGCTGAAGCCTTTCTTCCCATTCTGTAGAAGGTGTAATGTGTCTTGGGAATAAGCCAGGGAATTGTAGAGAATAGAGGATCTCTTTATTGACTGGGAGCTGGATTGTGCGCCTGCTGGAGCTGGATGACTCAAATTCATATTCTTCACATTGTGGAGGCATAGGAGCACTCTGTCCCTGCCACATCCTGTTGAGAGTGGGAACCCCTTGCCATGACTCACTTCTGGAGTGGCCAGGGAATACTCACAATCCTCCTTTGGTCTCTCATTTATATTTAATTGCTCCACTTTTGAGTACAAACAGTACTTTTTTTTTTTTTTTTTTTTTTCCCCACAACTGAATAATCACAACTTCTCCTGATATTAGCATGATTACTCAGGAAGGTCAAGAATTACATTTCTGAGTTGCTAAAGCAGGCTTCTTTTAAGCAATTGCTTTAAAAGGTGCCATTAGAAACACACATCTATCTCTTTTATGTGCTTATTATTCTGGGTCCAAAGGTACAGTGCTAAAACATATAATACTTCTTGCAGGCCTCCACTGTCAGCAGTTGCTTTGTCATTGAGCAAGCCTGTAGAGAAATGCAGAAGGATTAATTAATACAAGTTAAACAATGCCTACTAGTTTAAGCTGCATTGCCATCATCATTAACCTGAAGTTCTGCCAAGTTCCTGGCTGCTTTGATGTCAAAGTTAACCACATGGGACAAGGGTTTGGGGAGGTCACAATCAAAGAATGGGTCAGGTTGGAAGGGACCACAGGGCTCATCTGGTCCCACCTCCCTGCTCCAAGAGGATTAACCCAGAGCACACAGCTCAGGGTTGTGTCCAGATGGCTCTGGAATATCCCCAGTGAGGGAGACTCTACACCCTCTCTGAGTGATCTATTCCAGAGCTTGGTCACTGCCCAGTAAAGAGTTTCTTCCTCATGTTCAGGTGGAACTTTCTGGGCATCAGTTTCTGCCCATTCCTCTTGTCCCATTGCTGGGTGCCACTGAGGAGAGTCTGGTCTATGTCAAGGCTGAACAGCCCCAGCTCCTCACCCTTTCCTCATAAGAGATTCTCCAGACCCTTGATGACCAAAGGAAGGTCTTCCTCTTGACATTCGTTTACCCTGGTCTCCTGGGTCAGGGATTGCTGAGCTCTGGTCTTGTTGGTGAAGACAGATGAAAGGAAGGCATTCAGTAACTCTGCCTTCTCTACATCTTTCAGCTTTGTGCAGTTTTGGTGACAATTTCTCGAGTAGCGCATTAGTTTTGTCAGGGTGAGGTGATTATTGTCTCTTGTAGCTTTCTGGCTTTATTTGCTTGTGAAATGGGAGGCTCAAGATCAGTTTCTTACTCAGCTGAGGAAGATTAAAGCTCACATTTCCCAGCTCATAGCACATTGTAGAACATTTCTAGTTAATATCTTGGCTCCTAGCAAAGTATTATGTGGTGTTAGTGCGATATTGTCTGGATGATTTAACTACTTTCTGGGCCTGAGCTCTTCTCTGGATAAGGAGAGGAGAAACTTCCTTGTCTGCTGGGCTGGGGCTCTCTAACATGTCCCACATTAGCACTAAAGCACAGTGTCCTCAGGGCAGCTGATGCACGGTGTGTTTGCTGCAGGAGCCCCTGAGAAAAGACTCAGATGCAGGGTTCTGAAGAGTGAGCCACCACTGAATTATAGTATTGCTGTGGTGATGGGTTTATTAGGGCTGGCCTCTGAGGAACAGCCTCTGGAGTACAAGAATTTATAGACAAGCTCTTTTTTTTTCTAGCTCACACAAGTTGCATGTGTTCACTGACTAGTGTCTGATAGAATAAGACTCAATAAATCTCCCCCTTGAAAGGTCCTTTGAAGAAATTCTGCTGTAAGACTTCTACTACTCTTTTATTTTTGTCCTTCTAGGAAAGTACAGTAGCTCACCAAGGAAACACAGGTTCTTGCTCTCACATCCCTTTAAAAAAGTGATGGAAGGATTTGGTGCCCTTTGGTTTCCAAAACCATGTGGGCTTTTTGCCAGCTTCTCTACCTTGTGGTACTCTGGTTGTCTGGGGCAGAGGTGGTGTTATGGTATCAGCTGAAATTCAATGCTCTTGGAGCTCTTTTTCAACCTCAGTGATTCTATGACTTAATCAACAGCTTAGCCAAGAGAAATCTAAAGGCAAGGCAACAGCTTCTACCTCTAAATATTTGATAGAGGTTGATTCCCTCCCTCCCCCACAGGGGACCTTACTGTTTCAAGGTGAGCAACATGGCATACCCATCTTGCCTAGATGAAAGTTCAGCTTCTGTGTCTAAATATCTGATGAACTATTCCCAGTGTCGAATAACTTAATGGAAAATTGATCTCACCTCCTGTAGAAAAAAGCAAACCCTTGATTGCCACAAAGAGATTGTTCAGTGCTGTCTTGCCTGCAGCTCCTGTCCCACACAGGCAAAGCTACTCTAGATTGGAGGTGGGTCATGGAGTTACATGGAGAAATCCAAGCACCTTTCCCAGCTCAATGGCCCTGTGCTCTTGCCAGTCAATCAGAGCTTCACCGGATTCACCCACAAGCTCTTGCTGTACAACAACCCAAAGACAGTTTTCTTTGCAGCCTGAAGTCTTAAAAGTCTTCTGTGAGGCAACTGGAAATAAGATGTTTGGTTTTTCTTAAGGGATCAGTCCAAGAGAGTTGGAGCTCTGATTGAATAAGTGATGTACTGAAAAAAAAAAAATCTATGCTGTGTCGGTGCTTTAATAAGTAATTGAGCTGAATGTTGCTGTGTGTCATCCCAGGGGGACCTTTTTGTTTTTCAGCTTGCTTTTCCTTTGGAGTTGAGCTACCACCACAGATCACAGAGCAGTGCAGTGAGGGATGTTGTATCTAAAGCCACAAAAAGCCAAAGCAGGACTTTGAACAAATACTTTGTTTTATCCTCATTTCTATTACCTTGGTCCCCAGACTTCTGCATGCAGGTTAGGGGCTGATGGGAAAAAAAGACCAAAATTTTAGAGATCTAAACTGTCTGGTCTTGGTGTTGTCATCAGTGCCAGACCACTTTAGAATCTCCTCTTTAAGAGAAAGGGACTAATTTGGATTTTTCTTCTAATTTGGATTTTTCATGTAATTTCTCTGATTTTGGTTTTGGTGAAATTTTGACCCTCATGTTAAATTTGCATTTCAATGCAAATTGAAATTTGCCAAACAAATGGCAAAGGAAAATAGACAGAACATTCACTCATCTGATACCAGGGCATGACTGTTCTGCAAGGAGCATTTCCCTAGGAAGCTTCTCTGAAGGTGACTGTAGTCCTGATTCCATGTGGCTTGAAATTTTATACTCCTGTGCAAATTGGGTACAAAATCATGTCTGCACCAAAGAATCTTACCTCTTTATTACTTTAAGTGCATTTTGTGCAGGTCAAAAGCACTATGTGATGTGCAAGGCAAAAGAAGTCTGAATGAATTCTTTGGGTAACCCCTGCTCACCTTCCATACTTTGCAGTCTGGATCAAACCTCTTTGCTTGGTCCATTCAGTGGTTTAGCTTTCAGCCATCACAGCCTACATTGCTAGAATGTAATATTTTTAGATTATTTTTCCCCCCTAAGAACCATTTCCCCCCTCTTTCACAGCAGATAAATACCTTTTCTTGGAGATGATTTACCTTGTTGGCTGTTTCCACTTCTGAGGGATGCTGAGAACTTCTCTTATGTGACGCTTTGCTGAATTCCAGCCCCAAGAGTTATTTTGCTTTTCTTGTTCTGCTTCTCTGCTGCTTCTAAAAGTCGGCCTTGACAAAAAGAACAATGTTTCTGTGGTGATCCCAGGCTACTGGGAACGTCTCTACCCATGTGGGAACTCAGAGACTTGGTTCAGTGTTCTTGAAGCACAGACTCTGAGGGAAGGGTGAAGAAGCAGCTATCACTGCCTATGGGTAGTGCTACAATCTCTGACTCCAGTCTTTCACTGAGTTACCTCATCCACTGGTGAGCTTGCCCATTAGACATGATGTTCAGTCACCAGCCTGACTACTC